TATCCTTTCCTTCAAGGACTGGGTCTCAGAGAAACTGTTTCACGGGTGGCTGTTGGCTCCTGGGCCTAAGCTGCGTAGCGGCGAGAGGCAGCAGGGGCTTACAAGTGACCTTGGCCCCTGAGTTCAAGAAGCATTTGGAATCTCAAGCTGAGGGTCATGCATTTTCTGCTATAATTAAGGCAACATGGCTATGTCATCATTAAGATGTTCGCTGACTGCAGCATTCCTATTAGAGCCGTGGGAGGGGTTGTGTGCTGGTAACAGTGGGCTATGCTCCAGAAGGGGCTACAGACCTGAGCCAGGCACCCAGGGAGCAGGAGGGCTGTCCCCAGCTTTCCACTGGGTCAGGGTCCTGCTTAATTCTGGCCTGTGCATCCAGCTGGTTTTTCGAGGCTCCCCCTTATTTAAAATAGGACCAGGACTCCCATCACCGAGTTGTTGGGAGGCCCCAGTGTGGGGCTGGCAGTGGCTGGGCCTAGTTATTCCCCTGGAGACTAAGCCCAGCCTCGGGGCCAGCATCAGGGATGGAGACCGTTTATTTTACCAGAAGAAAGACTCTACCGGAAGTTAGTTAATGGAGCCTGTAGTGGGGTTTGATGGTACCACTTTCAGACCATGGCCTCTGTCCAGAGGAGCTTGCTGTCTAGCTGCACAGTCAGCACAGAAGCCCCTCAGGCTCTCTTCTCGCAGTCCACCCACAGGGAGCGCCTAACCAGTGAACTCGGGGCTCACAAGGCTTTCACTCAGCACTGACATGGCCATGTCCCGCACATCAAGGGGCTCTGCCCCTGCCAGGCTGAGTCCTGGGGACCAGGCCTTCCCGTATCTGCTCCTGCTCTTTATCGCTGTGATGAACTCTAATTTGGGGGGAGCACAGCTGGGTGCCCGGGCATCTCTTTAATTCCTTTACTCCCAGGCGTGCGCAGGCCGTGTGAGTTCCCGGCACAGTGTGCACTCACAGGTCTGTTCTCTCTCACCTGAGATGGCTAGGATTGCCAAGTTTACTTCCCTTTCTTTCCATCCCTCCTTCCTACTTACTGTGGCTCTGGGATTCTGGAACATTCCCTGCAACTCTATGGCCTGGCCTCCAGCTGGAGATGTCATGTGCCCACCTCGGCCCTGTGCAGACAGACCGCCCTGCTCAGGGAGCGTTTCCATTGGTCCTGGCACTCCAGTTGATGGCCTCCTGTCCCTGTCCCTGCCTGTGCATGTCCGGAGGGTAGGGCCTGTCTTTTTCACCTCTGTGCCTCAGTGGGGCCACTTTGGTGGGTTTCCCACAGGGTTCATTGACTTAAATTCTTTAGAGGTCACTGAAGGCTTGTGAGCATTTCCCACAAAGAGCCAGTTCTCATGAGTTTACAGTTATCATGAATGTGTGTCTAAGAATACCAGCATATCTTGATTGGAAGGCTTTGTCTGCTGAGAGAGTGAGGTTCCTATTCCCACTGTGGGTCTTTTGTTAAACATTTACAGGCAACTTTCCGCCCCCCGACCCCCTCCCCCAGAAATACAGTTTATCAAAAAAGACACCGTGTTGAATGGAAGCCATTGCTTGCGCGTGACCAAACGTGGCTGCCGTCGCCGTGACCTCACACAGCCCTCGGACGAGCAGTGACACACCAAGCATTTCCTGTGAACCAGGAGCCTTCCTGGTCCCACCATTGTTGTTCAGCTCTTGCCTGGAAGAAAACAGAAATTATTTACTATGGGCCGTGTTGTGTTTGTTTAGAGCCTGGCTGGGAAATGCCATGCCCTCAGTGTCCCAGCAGCAGCCTTGCTGGGGACGGGCCTGTTCTCACTGCTGCGGGGGTGTACAGACGGGCTCACTCATAACTCAGGGCAGTTTTGGGGACGTGATGGGAAATGGTTCTTTTTCTTAAACAAAGAAAGCTGTTGCCCAGTGTCCCTGTGCCCTTCCTAGCTTTGGGTGTCTGCGTGCGGCTTGGCCATTGCCCTAGCAAGTCCCATAACCGTAACCACTTCGCTCAGGTACAAACAGCTCCCTGTTGGCTGCAGTTTCTCTGCAGCCTAGAATTTGCTTTCAGAAGAGCTGGGCAGAAAAAAAGAGGCAGAAGCTACCGTTGGTCCTGTTTGCTCCTGGGCACTCCAGCCTTCCTTGGCCTGCCCTGCCCTGTCTCTGTGGTGACCCCTCTGCAGGAGGCCTTCCGTGGATGTGGGGAAACAGTACTGAGCGGTGGAAGGAGGGACCAGGAGGGGTGACGGGAGCCAGGCTGGGTAGTATGCCCAGCAGCATCTTTATCCAGCATGTGTTTGATGCCCACTGCAGGGGAACCTCTGCCAGCATGCCCTGCTCTCATGGGGCTTTCGGCCAAGTCTTAACAGCTGAGGACCAGTGGGCTGGCAGGTAGCAGCACTTGGCTACCTCCATTCAAGAGGGCAGTGCAGGGGAAGCCGCGGGTGTTCAGCGGGCGAGGGTGAGCGGGAGGCGGGGAGGAGGAGCATTCACAGTGCGGAGCACCAGCCTGCAGGGCCACAGCCCCACTTCCTGTGGAGGCTGGCCCGCTGATAGCGGTTTTTCCAGACAAGAACCAGTGCCGGGTGCTTCACAAATTTCCTAATGAGTTCCTAAGATTCGGGTTTAAATTGTGTTACCGTTTTCAGAAAGAAATAACAGAATTTCCCAGTCTGTCCGTGAACCTGCACCTGGAAGCCACACTCTCATACTGCCATTACAGGCCAGAGGTCATCTCTTGTGTTGGGGACCTGCCCAGAGCACAGGCCCCTGCAGCCTCCACATGTGTCCCACACTGCTGCTCAGAAAGGCCGCCTGTGGCAAAATCATCGAAGGGAACACTCACTGAAAAGAAGCTGTTATGGGCAGGCAGGCGTTTCCAGTCTGTGCTGAGGCGCAGGGATGAATAGCTCAGGGAATGCCACCCTGAACCTCAAAACCCCGGCTTGTGGGGGCTGTGTGTGCTGAGCATGCTCTCACCTGCGCAATCTGTCTCCCTGCCACCTGTGTGCTGTAGGAACCCCATGGGTCAAGTGTATGATTCCAGAAACATAAGTGCCACTTCCAGAACCCAATTGTCCCCTCAGCCTCACAGGTGCCTGTGGGGGGAATGCTGGCTGAAATGTCACTGCCCAGCACTTCCTGGGTGTCTGTTGCACAGAAAGCTGTCTTGGGGCAGTGCCACCCTCTGCTCATGCTGTGGTGCCCCTCACGGAGAGTGAGGAAGCTGTGTTTTCTGGGATGCCCTCAGTGGTGATGACTTTTTTGTCACCTTGCATGGCCAGCTGGTCCATGTGTGTCATGTCATAGTGTGCACTGGGGAAGAGCCCGGGCTTTGCATCTCTAGACCCTGGTGTATGCTGTGCTGTGCTTGGTTAGCAGGAGGGGTGGGGTGGGCAGTGATGAGTGAGCTGGCAGAGGGGGTGGGGCCACACCAGGCACTCAGGACAGTGGGCGGCATTTTGTACGGTGTGGCTTCAGGTACTCCCTGGGGCAAGGGAGTGAGGGAGCGTAGACAAACTGCTCTCCTTTGGCAGCAATGACAGGCTGCAGCCTGAAGCGGGAAGGCCAGGAACCAAGGAGAGAAGGCAGGCGTTGCAGGAGCTGCTGTGCACACTTATGTGCGCACACACCTTGTAACTCTGCAAGGAGCCACCTGTCGTGTCACCAGGCGAGTCAGCCTTTATCAGTAAAGTTGTGACATATTTGAAATCCCAACAGAAGTAAGAGTCTTCCTGTTCTTTCTGGAAGTTTGACTACACAGCAATTTGTGAGAGATTCGGTGCTCTGCAGCATCTTGTGGGATGTGGGCGGAGCTGGCACGCGGCTACTGTCCTCATGGCCTGACCGATAATGAGACAAGGAACCAGAGTCGTCAGCGGAACACACTCAGCGACCTTGCATTTCCTGAAACAAGGGTGCCTTCTGCCCACCACCTGGCCCCAGAATTCACCCTGGCTGCAGTTCTGTGTGGCGTGGGGGTCAGAGGCTCCTCGGATCCAGACAGAATGAATGCACAATGTTTTCATGGGCACGTTAGTGATTTTGAAAGGTGTTTCGCTCTTCTGAAGGTGATTTCCTCCCAGACACCAGGTTGTCTTAGTAGTGTAGCACAACATTCTATTTCTTAGTGCCTTTGGTGGTATAAAATGTCAGATGAATTCTAGCATGCTACAGCACCTTCTGTTTTTTAAGTCAACTTTTTATTGACATACAACATGCAGAGAGGTGTAGGATTGAAGTCCCCAGCTGGCTGGATTGTCACCAGGGACCCACCCAGGTTAAGAACTGATAAAGAGCAGCCCAAAGCCCCCTGCTTCTGCAGCAGGGACACCTTTTCCGCTTTGCATGTCATATACATGGACCCCACAGCATGTGCTCTTCTGCACCCAACGTGCATGAGACAGCCCTACTGCTGGGTGATGCTGTGGCTTGTTCTTTCCAGCGGTTGCCTGGTGCTCCTCAGCAGATGATGGCACGAGGTCTGTTTCCCTGTTCCCTTTATGGGCACTGGGTTTGTGTGGTAGAGCACTGGCGTGGGGGTTGGTGTGACGTATGTAGACTTTGGAATTAGGCAACCCTGGGTTTAAGTCCTAGGGCTCCTGGTTTCTCAGTGACACAGGGCATAGTGCCTCACCTCTGAGCATCAGCTTCCCCATCTGTAAAATGGGCACACAGGCTTTGGTCGGTTTCACATTGCTCAGCCTCACAGGACCTTCTGCCCTGACAAGTCTCTAACCATCAGGGGGGTGTGTGTGTGTGTACCCCCAGCAACATCCTTTCCCCATGCTTCCTGAGCAGGTGGCAGCAGACTGACTGGACTGACGAGTCTGTGAGTGTATGCGCGCCCATGTGTGAGATGGCTGCACATGTGATGCCTGTGACTGCCTATGCATGTGACAGCTGCGTGTATGATGCATATGCGTGCCCTTGTGTGTGTGGTGTGTGTGGATGCCCGCACGTGTAACAGCTGTGTGTGTGATGAGTGTGGACGACTGCGTGTGTGATGGCTGCATGTCTGTTGCAGGCCTCCCGGAGCAGTACTACAGTCTCACCTGGTTCCTGAGCCCCATCCTCGGCCTCATCTTCACGCCCCTCATCGGCTCCGCAAGTGACCGGTGCACCCTGAGCTGGGGCCGCCGGCGGCCTTTCATCCTGGCCCTGTGCGTGGGTGTGCTCTTTGGTGTGGCACTTTTCCTCAACGGCTCTGCCATCGGTGAGTGTGCCTCAGCTGCAGCAGGCATCCCAAAGCTCCTGACTGGGGATAGCCTCTCAGTAAAGTCATTCAGAGTGGCCCGCCCAGGGCCGAGGCCTCACAGTGGGTCCGCCTGGCAGCCCTGGGGCGCCGTGTGGGAAAGCCCTGGGAACCTGTTCGCAGGGAAGCGCTTCCTGTTGTGGCCCATTTGTTTTTAATGCGTATCTTACACCACGTCCTGTTTCCAGCATTATTTCAGAAATGATCTTTTCCTTTCTCCACAGACTTGGTATTGAAAGTGCCCAGACCCGGTTCCACTTGCTTTGTTGTTTCGTGTCCACAGTTTCTTCGTTCTAAGTTTTGTTTTTAATTAAAGCATCTCTGTGGGAAAATAGCGTTTGCCCTGAGGGCACTTATTCAAACTGTTGAAACAAAACATTGTTTTCTGGCGGTGACTTTTAAGACAGAGGCTTAACGTGAGCTTTCCCCCAAGTCTGCATCCACTTGGGTGGTAGTCAGTGATGCCAGACACTCAGGAAGAGGCCCCACAAAGCCATTTGGTGCAGCCAGGGCCTTGCTCAGCTTCTTGGAGGCTTGGTGGGGATGGGCCGGGGGCAGGAAGGTGCTGCCCTCGCCCCACGCACCTCCCTGAACTGCACCCTCATGAGGGGCAGCCCCTCCAGCCACATGTCCCTGATTAGAAGCCAGCGTATTGCTCTTCTGTCACCCATGCATTCAGGGGACACCGACGGACGTCCTTGCAGGCCCTGGGTTGGGTGGGTGCTCACACTCCCTTGTGAGTGCACAGGGGTGTTGAGTGTGTCCCACATTCCCCTTTCTCACTGATGCTCCCAACAGGGACCCCACTCCATAGTGAAGGTTGGGTAGGAAGGACGCTTTTCCACTTTTAGTTATAAAACATACAGGTACAGAATCTCTCTGAGGTTCACTGAACAGCTACTGTGAACTGGAAGGAAAAACAACCCGCAGATGACAGGAATGAGAAAACCCCAGAACTGACCTCTGACTGCCCCTTATGCCTGTCAGGCCTGTTCCTCGGGGACGTCCCCGGCCGGCAGCCCATTGGCATCGTGCTCACAGTGCTGGGCGTGGTGGTCCTGGACTTCAGTGCTGACGCGACCGAGGGGCCTATTCGTGCCTACCTGCTAGACGTGGTGGACAGTGAGGAGCAGGACATGGCCCTCAACATTCACGCCTTCTCTGCTGGTGAGAGCACATCCCTTCTCCTCCCCTGGCCCCCTCCGACAGGCCAGCACTCACATCAGGGCAGGTTTCCACACCAGGTGCCAGCAGGCCAGACCGTGAGAGGGGACCCCAGCCCCACAGGCAAAGTGACTATGGTGCCACGATGGGGCGAGGTGCTGGCAAGTGGCCTCACCCAGGTCCCTGTGCTAACTGCTCCCCGCAGTCAGGCAGCTTTCACATCAGATGGCAATGCCCACTTCCAGAGCCTGGGGGTGGCGGTTGGTGCCAAGGGCGTCATGGGGGCAGTTTCCTAGCCTGGCCGTTGTCTGTCCTAGTTTATTAAGCAGGAATCTGTTGGGCCAGCTGGAGTGTCTTGTCCTGTCTTTCCTGCCGGTGTCTCACTCTCCCGAACACAAGGGAACTGCCTTGGGCGGGACTGTGGGTGGCGACCACTGCCCATTGAGGCTGAAAGCCCTCCAGGTCTGCACTGGCCTGTCTGCCTCTAGGGCCGAGGCACCGCTACCTCAACGGCTGCTCTGTCCCTCCCACCCACTCAGGCCTCGGTGGGGCCATCGGCTACGTGCTGGGGGGCCTGGACTGGACGCAGACCTTCTTGGGCTCCTGGTTCCGGACGCAGAACCAGGTGCTGTTCTTCTTTGCGGCCATTGTGTTCACGGTATCGGTGGCCCTGCACCTGTTCAGCATCGAGGAGGAGCAGTACAGCCCCCAGCAGGAGCGCAGCGTGGAGACCGCCCTGCCCCCCGCCCCCCGCCCCAGCCTCCTGGACAGCGGTGCCCCGTTCCCTGACGAGGTGCAGTCAGAGCATGAGCTGGCCCTGGACTACCTGGATGTGGACCTGGTGCGGAGCAAGAGCGACTCAGTGCTGCATGTGCCAGACGCCGCGCTGGACCTGGAGTCTGAGCTGCTGTTCCTGCACGACATCGAGCCCTCCATCTTCCATGATGCCTCCAGCCCTGGCACGCCCCGCAGCACCAGCCAGGACCTTGCCACAGCCAGGCTGCCTCATTTGTCCTCACTGCTCAGGGACACCACCAAAGAGGATGCCATGCTGCTGGATAACCATGTGAACGAAGCCAAAGTCCCCAATGGCAGTGGCTCCCCTCCAAGAGACGGCCCACACAGCTGCATCGCGGTGGACCTGAAGCCCTTGCCTACGTCCAGCGCCATGCGGCGGCGCAGGCATGGGTTCCGCCGGCAGGCCTCCAGCACCTTCTCCTACTACGGCAAGATCGGCTCCCACCGCTACCGCCACCGGCGGGCCAACGCTGTGGTCCTGATCAAGCCCTCGCGCAGCATGAGCGACCTGTACGACCTGCAGAAGCGGCAGCGGCAGCGGAGCCGACACCGCAACCAGAGCGGGGCCACCAACTCTAGCGGGGACACTGAGAGCGAGGAAGGCGAGGGCGAGACCACTGTGCGGCTGCTGTGGCTGTCCATGCTGAAGATGCCCCGCGAGCTAATGCGGCTCTGCCTCTGCCACCTGCTCACCTGGTTCTCCGTCATCGCTGAGGCCGTCTTCTACACCGACTTCATGGGCCAGGTCATCTTTGAGGGGGACCCCAAGGTGAGCCAGGAGGGGTGTCACGGCCGGTCGTGAGGGCTGAACAAGAAGGCCTGGGAGAGCTGGGCGGTGGAGACAGCCTGGTGCACCAAGCTCAGTGTAGGGGAGGCCACTCCCCAGTCCGCTCCTGGACCCCACATGGTGCGGGGTGGGCGGCTCTTGGCAGACAGCCGGCAGTGTGCACCGGGTAGCATGGTCGGGGCCATTGTGTGAACCTGGGAGGTTGTCGCACCCAGTCCACAGTCAGCAATCAGAAACACCAAGGGTTGTTACAGGGCCAGGGAGGTGCAAAGCCTGAATGGAGACAGCGTGGATCCTCCGCTGCTGTGTACCGGATGGCCCAAACTAGTGTTCTAATAGCTGTCTGCTACTGCTTGTGGGTGGGCTCAGCTGGCTATTGCTCTGTCCCGTGTCAGCTGGCTCACACCTGTGGCCGTGTCACCTTGGGTCTGGCTGGGATGGCCTTGGCACAGGCTCAGGCCTCGCTTTCCACTTGTCCCTCACCTTCTCGGCCTGTGGACCTGCTCCATGTGGCTTCTGGGCTCCAGGAGGGCAGAGGCGGGAGCTGCCAGTCAGGGCAGCCTGGCCCCAGGGAGGAGAAAGGCTGGGTGGATGCAGATGTCTGCCCAGAGCTTCCCTGGAGGGAGGCCTATTGTCCTTTGATGGAGTGTTTGTCACCTGCTTCAAAATAATCAGCTTGCTGCACTCGAGATGTAAAATAACCTCCTTTGCCTGGAGGGTGTGGCTTGTGGTCCCCTCCCTGAACCCAGTCTCATTTCTGGAACAGGCTCCCTCTAACTCAACTGCCTGGCAGGCCTACAATGCTGGCGTGAAGATGGGTTGCTGGGGCCTGGTCATCTACGCAGCTACTGGTGCAATTTGCTCAGGTAAGTGGTTCCCATGTCACCCTGGGAAACGCTCAGTGACTGGATTGTGGCCGAGGGCACCCTGCCTCACAGAGGCGACTCTGCTGTTACTGAGCAGGGCCACCTGCCCTCAGAGACAGAAGCACGGAAACTCATGTCCTCATCTCAGGGGAAGGCCACAGTAGCCTGACACCAGGGACTGGGTGTCCTGAGACCCACTGCAGGCTGTCCTCTGCACTGGCCCCTTCAGAGGTTCCTCTGAGGGGCTCTGACCAGGGCTGGGCCCAGGTGGTGGCAGGAAGGCAGCAGCTGTGCCCCTGAGCCTGGGAGGGGCAGTGGCTTTTCAGCCAGGAGGACAGGGAGAGGCGGTGCAGGCACAGGGACCAGGCGAGGCACACGGTGCACTTGGGGCTTGCTGGCGTTCAGGGTGTGTGCAGAAGGGGCCTTTCCCTGGAGACAGCTGTCCCCTGGAGGCCGGGGGTCAGGGTGACAGGTTCAGTCCTAGGAGCCACACACACCTTCTGGAAATCAGTTGGGTCTCCCACCCATTCTCTACCTATGTCGTGGGGGAGGCAGCTGGCTTTATGTCACCTGATCTAGATTTGAGGGTGGCCGAGATAAATGCTACTGAACAGCTGGGAGACAGCGTGACAGTTATACAGCTGTCCCTGCTTTGACAGTTCTCAGGACAGTGTCTGTGATGCCCCTGGAGGAGGTGACATTTAACTGCTGGGTCAGGAAGGGTGAGCCAAGGGGTGCCCGTGAGGGCACCAGCTACAGCTTGAGTTCCCAGAGTAGGGCTGGGCACAGGGCTGGAAGAGGCGGCTGAGCAGGCCTGGGTGGCCGGGAAGGGTCTGGGCCCGGCTGTGCTGGCGGGCAGGGAGGCCCGGGGAGCAGCAGGATGGGGCCAGGTCACAGAGCTGACTTCTTTCGGAGGTGCTGGAGCCCTGGACGCAGAGTGGGCAGCAGTGTGGAGGGCGGGCGGGTGAAGGGGGTGTTGGTAGGCTCCTGAGCCAAGCTGAGTACGAGGCGGCCAGCATACATTTGGCGGCCGTGGTGTTCACCGTCCTGCGGCCGCTCTCTGCAGCTCTGCTCCAGAAGTACTTGGACAACTATGACCTGAGCATCCGTGTCATCTACGTGCTGGGGACGCTGGGCTTCTCCGTCGGCACAGCTGTGATGGCTATGTTTGCTAACGTCTACGTCGCCATGATCATGATCAGCACCATGGGCGTCGTGTCCATGAGCATCTCCTACTGCCCCTACGCCCTGCTCGGGCAGTACCACGACATCAAGCAGGTGTGTCACGCCTACGGGGTCTGGTGGGCAGGGTGCTGGGCACAAGGTCACCAGCTGGCAATGCAGGTCAGGACGGATCACCAGGGTGTCTGCTCCAGAGCCTGCGCTCGTTCGCGTGTCTCCAGACATCTGAGCCACAGACAGCCTCGGGTCTTCAGTTCTGAAATGACCTTGAAGGGCCAGCGGAACTGCCACATGCTCAGGTCTGTCCAAGGCACAGGCTCCCTGGCCACAAAGGTTCTGTTCCTTTAGCTGCCTGGCTGCTGGTACCCCTGGCACCCCCAGCCCACCTGGCTTGCCTGGAGGCTGCAGGTGCATTTCAGGGGTTGCGATTCAGGGAGCAGGAGGCTGCCTGCCACATGTTCCCTGACACACCAGGGAAAGTTGTGGACCTAGGTCAGTGTACACCTCCAATAGCCACATTTAAAAAGTGAAAAGACAGGAGCAAATGATGGTGGTAGCTTATTTAACCCAGTACTTCCAAAATATCAGCATTTCAACATGTATCCAATATAGAAAATTGAGATATTTTGCATTCTCACCAAGTCCTTGAAATTCGATATCTGTTCACCTGCAGCACCTCTTGATGCAGACGAGCCACTTCCTAGTGCTCGGTAACCACAGTGCAGGTATAGACGGTGGTTCTCAAACTTAACGCTCAGACCCTTCTGAGGGAAAGGAAACAAGCACAGTGAGCTCCTGTCTCTCTTCCTAAACCGTAAACTGTTTCTAATCTTTTACACAATTGCAAAAGCGAATAAACTCACGTGATTAGCTGCCTACCAGATACCAAACTAATGAAAATCTAAATAGCAGCATTATTTTTAAACCTGTAGTTGAAGTATAAGGTGACTGCAGAAAAGTATACAGATTGTAGGTGAACAGCTTAGTGGGTTTCCAGGAGGGAGAACACACTTGTAACATTGTCGCAAACCAAGACAGAGCAGACAGGCTGATGCCAGGTGCTAGCCCTGCCGGTGTCTGGCCGTGTTCACCTCGTCTGGGGTCCCTCCGTGTTTGCTGGGACAGGCCTTCATCCCTGCACCGGCCGCACCAGGGGCCAGTTTCCCATCCACCCTGCTGCTGGGGTTCTTTCTGTGCAGGGCCATCCCTGCTCCTGCTGCAGGGAACCTGCTTTCCCGGGCCCTGTGCGCAAGGTCTCGCGGCCTGCACCAGCTTGGGATAGGTAGGCTTCACGTGAGTGTGTTTTAGGCATCGGAGTAAAACTTCATGGTTTCCCCGCAGCAGATGGCCCTCTGATCCTGGGAGTGGTGCTCTGTCCCAGGTCAGGCGTCCACCTGTGGGTGTTGCAGGTCCCGGTGCCCTTCATTGGGCTGTTGTCCTTGGACAAAGTTTGCACTACCTCGCGTGGTTTATGAGGAGGCTCGAAGCCTGGTAGTAGAAGCTCTTCACAGTGGCTTCTCTTCGAGGTTGTCTAGCCTCTGCTGCCACTTTTCATCTACGTTAGAGATATCACGTGGAGTTAAAACTTGCAGTATTGAGCCTTTCTGTCCATAACGTGGTGTGTTTCTGTTCTCACAGTGCGTGTCCAAGTTCTTCGGGACTTTCTACGCACATGGTTATGTCATCCATGTATAGTGAGCTTTGTTTCTGATACATTTTATTTACTTTCCTATCTTGCTGCAGTGGGGTGGGGAAGGCGGGTTGAGAGACTGCCAAGCAGCTGAGTGGGAGGCGAGTTTTTGTTTCTAGACCTCTCAGCTCACATTCAAACTATGTTGGTGGTGGTTGAGCCCCAGCCCTCACCCCGCACTCTTCTCTTGCAGTACATTCACCACAGCCCCGGGAACTCCAAGCGCGGCTTTGGCATAGACTGCGCCATCCTCTCCTGCCAGGTCTACATCTCCCAGATCCTGGTGGCGTCTGCCCTCGGGGGCGTGGTCGACGCTGTGGGAACTGTGCGTGTCATCCCCATGGTGGCCTCTGTGGGCTCTTTCCTGGGCTTCCTGACGGCCACGTTCCTGGTGATCTACCCGGAGGTATCAGAAGAGGCCAAGGAGGAGCAGAAAGGCCTGTCTTCCCAGCCGCCTGGTGAGGGCAGCAGTGAGAAACCCACTGTCCTGAGGCTGTCCCGCAAGGAGGGCCTGCAGGGGCCTGTGGAGACGGAGTCCATGGTCTGAGGCGCTCCCGTGCCCACACATTCCCGCGGGGCCTGCGCGCAGGCTGGGGCTGCTGCTCCGGTGGCCATACAAGCCCAAGTTGCTTCTCAGATGGAGTGGAGACTCGGTTGTAGGGTAGGTTTGAGCCACGAGGCAAAAACACCACACTATTAACTTTTCTCACAATTAAAAAATCATTTGAAATCTTTTTTTTTAATTGAAAAAGATCTTTTAATTTCAACTTTATTTTTTATTCTGCAGCATATTATTCTGCATGTTTTGAATTGTAAACCAGGTTTACAATATAGACCATAAGCAACTTAGAAAAAAATAAGATTTTGCTTTTCTAAAGTATAGTGGAAAACAAGTACCTGACCCCCTTTGCTGCGTCTTGTCTGACCGCTTCAGATGATAGTCATGTTGTCAGTGACTAAACATTTTTACCAGATTTTTTCTCTGGACACCTACAGTGTTGGGACGTCTGTCAGGCGCCATCACGTGCTGGTGCTGCAGCTCTGGGAGAGTATTTTCCTTTACAATTACTTTAGAAAAAATTTTCCAAATCCTTTTTTTAGACTAACAGCACCTCTCCTCAGAGAGTTGGGCAGCGGGCAGTGTGGCAGCTGCACCCCAGAACTGGGAGGAGGCAGGGCCCATGCTCCTTGTGGGCGGAGCAGGGCGGGGTCACCAGCTGGGTGGCATTTGGGCCAGTGGGCGCACGTCCATGCCCAGGCTCTAGGCAAGGGCGCAGCTCTCTCGTTGCACTTTGTCTTGCAACCAGCAGCTGGGAAATGATGGCCGCGGGGGACCCCCAGCCCCACCGCCTTGTTTGGGGCACAGCCCGGCCTGCCACCATACTGGACACTGCTGAACCCTCTGACCTCTCTGCCGGGTCTCCCCGCTTGATGCTGGAGTCACAACGGTTGCACGGTGAGGAAAGTGTCTGTCTGGACAGACGGCCCCTTTGCCGATGGCCGGTGCCCTGGTTCTGTGTCAGCACAGAAGCTCCCTGGGTTCTGGGAAAGAACAGTCGCCTCGTGCTGCAGCTGTTTGGAGTGGTTTTCAGACCAGTCTCTACAGCAGGTGGTTTCTGTGTGTATTCGGACCAGCAGTCTCAGGAGGGGGAGGCCTCCCTGTGTCCCCCGGATAGAGTAACAGTTGTAATACTTTGCTGCCTCAAGTTGATGTTTTTTTTAAATAAAGTACTTTAAAGTGCATGAGAATCATGCTGCAATATGATCATTCTAAAGCAAATATATATTTCAAGATGAAACTAAGCAGTTTTGAAATAAATTACTTGAATTTTCTGTGTATTTGAAGGATGACTGTGTTTCATGTACCTGACTGGCCTATGGTCTCGCCGTGTCTCAAATGCTAGTGGCATTTTGTGGCTCCTTTTTTGGATGCCCTTTCACATCAGACGCACCATCCAAAAAGGGCATTAACCTTTGACATCCAGCCTTAAACTTGACGGTGATCTGAGATAGCAAAGGCATCCAAGGACAGTGTGTGGAAGTCACTGGCAGGCACTTGAGCTGAGCCCTGTGGGCAGGTGTTTAAAAATTCTGAAGCCTTTTGGGTGTTTGTGACCAAAGCCTGTCTTACTGTGTGGGTCTGCCCAGCCTCCAGGCCCAGGGGAGGAGGTGCTGGGTGGGCGGAGGAGTCACGTGGGCGTTTGTTTCTCAAGCTGCCTTCCTGGCCCCTCCTTGCTCAGGGCGTGAGCTGGGTGGGGGTAATGTAGCTAAATTCTTTCACCTCAGGCCCATCCTTGCAAGGAGGTTATTTCAAGATTGCACTAACTTGAAACTGAGTGTCATCACCTTGTGTCACCTTCCTAGAGGAAGAGCTGGCTACTTGCACAGTGTGATTGCAGACTGGTATGGGAGTGTGTTCTCTAACCCTGTACCTCGGATGCAGTCAGGACACGGTTCCTTTTCAGCCTAGTCACTTGAAAAGTGCTCTGTCTGTTGCCCTGGCTGAAAGGACTGGTTGGGCTAGGCCTTTGGGTGTCCACAGGGTTGGCTGGCAGGTGGTAGTGCTAGGGATAGTCTGGGGTTGGCCTGGCAGAAGCCCTGGGATTTCTGGGCCAGGTTGGGGGGCCAGGGCCTCTGAGCAGAGGACCAGAGCTTATGGGGCAGGGATTTTGGTTGGCTGCTGTGTACTACAAATGGATTTATTACCAAAATTGGGTAACACTGGTCTGATTTGCATTTTTTATTCTAAGAGTGAACTAAGTAAAGAATCTTTTAGAGATGCCCCAGGCATGCGGCATAAGTCTAGACCATGCAGGATTGTGTGCTGGCAAGGAGGGTGGATGCTGGCGGTGCCAGGCCAGCTGCCTCTGCACCCCTTCTCCCCTGCTGTGGCACAGTGGCACTGGGAAGATCCCTGTGGCTGAAGAGCTGGCAGGTGGGGG